CAGTATGGTCATTGTGTTGTGGAGGTATGCAACAGCCTTGTGGGAATGCAATTCCAGTATTCAAAACCAGAGGGGTAAAATTAATTGTTCTGGCACTGAGCTAAGCATTTTCTAATTTTCCGCTTGTGTCATTGAGGCTGAGGTTGTCTTGGTTTTTAAGTGACTAGGAAAAGAAAATAAATTGAAGGAAAAAATGCAGGTTTTTGTTTTCATTTTACAGAATAGACTAAAACCATGGCTAAGATCCTTGTTTATTTTTAAAAGCCCTACAATCTGGAACCTAACTCAGCTCCATTTGACTCCTAGAGGACACCAACTCTACTGCTGCTGAGTTTCTGTTGCCAAGTCAGAATTTTAGCGCCTTTTCTGATTATTTTTAAATTCCGTGGCATTTTAATGTACATGACTTTTGGCAGCTGAAGTCTCAACTCTTTCATTCTCTTATCTGTCAATAAGGGGCACGACAGCTCTCCAAGAAACAAAAGCAGGGAGTCTAGGAACTGCAATGCCCACTACAGGCTCCAGATGGGGTCCGGGTTACCGCAACACTCAACACACCAGAGGACCCTGCCATCTCCCCCAGCCAAAATCTCTCTCCATCCTGGGCTTTCAGGAATTCTTGCCTAACCACAGTTTCTGACAGAAATCAACTCATGGTCTTCTAACTCCCTTCGTATAAGAGCTTGTTCCTCTGAATTCAAGTGAGTTATCTTACTGCTACCAGCATCCTTATGCTCCTGTGAAGAACCCTACACTGAGGACCTGTACTACCCTCATAACAGCAGGTCTAAGGCAGCAATTGAAAAAAACATGTAAAGGCAAGATCAGAGTTGTTAAAAGGCAACAGAAAGGAACTGAGGACAAAGATCAAGGGAACCAAAAGAGCAGTGTTTTACACGCCCATTTTTTTATATGTGCTACAGTACGTTTCGCATTTTCTATTATTACTGTAAGGAAAGGCTGCTGAACTGTAGACAAGAAGCTTTTGTCTAGTCTTTTAAATGCACGTTTGGCTTATATGATTTACATTGTCTAAAGAGCAGATGTTTTAAATTTTCAGTCAGAAAAAAATATTAAAATCATACCATATAAACAAATACTACACTAGCAAAAAATGCAAGAATATTGTAATCTGTTAATACTTCATATGAAGCAGCATCTCTCTCCTTCTGAAGAGGAATACAGCCAGCTTAATTAGCTATGTATCTGCAGAGCGCTTAGAATGCAAACCTACTGAAATTTCTGATGAGCAATAAATAAAATGTCACTCAGATGCTGAAGTCAAAATGGATACAGAATGAGTAATGATAGAACTGCTGGGGAAAAAAAAAAAAGATGAAAGAAAAAGGAAAAAAAAAAAGATTAAAGAAAAAGGGGGGAAAAAAAAAAAAGCAAAGAGAGAGAGAGAAACATGAAACACCAGATGGCAAATTCTGGAAACAGACGTTGCCATGGAAAAGAAGTGGCTATTATATACTCTTAGGGTGCAGATAAATAAAACACTGAAACAATGGAAGAATGAAGAAAATATGTTTCAAGGCGAGCTGGATACATGAAATGAATCCTAAACCTGACACCTGGTCCATGATTGTCAAATGTGGCTAACCAGCACTCTTTTCAAACAAACTTCCCAACAGAACTCCTTGGTCACCCAAGAGATGTTCCCTGTTGCTTCAGGATGCATTTGCTCTGGCCACCTGTCTAACACTGAATGCTTTAAGGTCTTTGAAGTCCCAGGCTTGGACATTTGCTTGAGTATTTGCTTGTACATTGAAGGTAACCAGCTTGGTGCATTGGTCCTTTAAATTAGTTCTGGACCTTAACACTGTAAAAGCAAGAAAAATCTCTGCAGCAGAGTCACTACAGAGACTAGAGAAGTGTATAGCCAAGACTAAGTCCTTCGGCTTGTAAAGAAGGAAGTCAAGGAAAATAACCAGCACTTTCATAAAGGTGTATCACAAAAAGCAGGATCAACAGCTGCTAACACCAGTGCCCAAATGCTTCAGTTAGTTCTGATGTGTCACCCATGTGATGGGGCTAAAGGATCCAAAGATGAGGAGCTGAGACCTCCCCACCCCAGTGCCTAGCTCAGGCCTTTTCTATTCCAAGAGATGCCCAAAGCTCCTCCATCAACACACAGCTGGTATACTAAACTATGCATCAATCCTGATGCATTAACCCTGACTAGCCTCTAAGCACCACACTGCAAATAACCAAAAGAATGTAAAGTGAACAATACTGGCTGATGGAAGACGGGTATTTTTGATCCAACACTTTGTTACTTTGTTTCTGGCTAGGACATTCATAGATTAACATGAGTAAGGGGTCCATCCTTCTTTCCCCTCCAGTAAGCTGCTATTCCCCTCCCTGTTCCCACAATGACTGGCTGACTTTTGCAATTAGAGACACAAGGCCTGTTGTTTACCTCCTTCCTAAAACTGGAATGCGAGGCCAGGTGAGAGACTTACTAGACCCAGCTCCTGAATGAACAGCCCAACCTGCTGAGAAAGGCTAAGCAATGAACTCCCAATGTATGTTGGTGCCTTGGTACCTTCCTCCTTGTACAGCTAACACATATCACTTGCTATCCCAGCCAGCTTAATTAAAACACTTATGCTTGGCAGGACTTAACAATATTAACTCTTATTCCATAACTCTTGTTCTTTTCATGCCTTCAACAGGAGCTTTTAGCTTAATGCTTGTTCCATTTACTTAATATTCTCCACAGCTAAGTTAACTACACCAACATTTCAATGATAATTCACATTTTGCACCTGTCTCTGTTTTGTTTACCTTGAGGAATACTACTCTTCCTATTTACTGTTCCTCAAGAGCAGCACCACACTGCTCTGCAAACCCCTCAGTTACACACAGTCCTTATTTTGCTAACTTAATGATAACTCGGATCTTCATACCCGACAGCAGCGTTTTCCTTGCTAAAGCTCCCTTTTATCTACAGAAAAGGCACAGAAAACTTCCATTTCACCTGTGGCCTTTACCAGCCAAGTATCCCCACGTGCGTGGGGGTCTGCGCAGTGCTTCTGTGGCGCTGGTTGTATGCTCCTGTCCCTTGGAGGACATACACTGGAGAAGAGGACCTGGCTGTTCTGTTCACCCTGTCGGAGACCGTGCAAGGTATTTCCATGATAGAGTTAGCAACATGAGACAAAAGAACGATACCTACTTAGTTAAACTTACTTCTTTGGGAGCAATACTGAAACAGTTTTGGTGTAAATTTGGACAATAAAGGTAGGCAATTTTCTAACCACCATGTCTTTCTTGAAAAGCCAACTCTTCCATGATCCCACTAGAAGTTCTGCATGAGGTTAAATCATGAGTAATAGGCTCATGTATCTGACCCTGGAATAGTAAAATGCCAAGCACTTGTATTTAGGAGAGAAGAAAATGCAAGTCTTTGTTACTGGTGGGAATTTTACTTTTAGACAACAGTGTTTTAATGGAAAATATTAAAAAAAAAACAAACCCTACACAGGAATGTGCCAATTTATGCAAGGTAAACAATATCCAGTAGAATCCTGTTTCACTAGGAGAAGGGAAGAGAATGACTGAGAGCACAAATCCCTAAGTATAGCTTACTAAGGTTTTTCAAGACAATCACTTAAAGGTTTTTATTTCCTAAGGATGCTGAGCAGGGACTCTTTTCTGGAAATTGCCATTAGAGAGAGAGAGATGGGGGATGAGTTTCTGCCCCCTGCACCTGAGTGACACAAACTAAACCCTTTTTTATTCAGCTCTATTGTTTTTAGCTGACACCAGTGTAAAAGGGAAAGACTCTCTAAGAAAATGCTTATAGGTAAAATGATATTGATTAATAGAAATATTATGGTTAAGATGAAAAATTAGAAACAGGTGCTACGAAATAATACAATAATAATTGTTATAAACCATGCAACCATGCTGCTTCTCACTTTGTCCTTTGTATAGCCTTCTCCATGGCTGGTTTAAACCCAATCCAGCTGAATCAACAAGAATAACAGAATTTAGAGACATAGCAATTATAGAAGATAAGTGATTAACCTGGAGTGAGTTGTGAAAGATTACATATTTTAAAATAGACATAAGTTAAATGTCATTATGTAAGTTTTTCTTAGAAGTGCAAAGGTGAGCAGACAGGAAGATTATTCAAGAAGATAAGTGAATACAGTGACCAGAGTGGAACCAGCAGGCTGCAACTTCTGAAGAGGTACTGGGACGAGACGAGAAGAATCAGCTGCATTTGAAGACCACTGTGGACTTTTATAGAATTTTAAATTAATGAGAAATTTGGAACTGAGGGTACATGGGAAAACACCAAGAATTTTGAAAAGAATACCTATTGCATAATGTTAAATTTAGCATATATACAGAGCCTGATTTTTGCAATGCCTTTGCCACTCACTGAGGTGATGGTCCAACTCTGAGTTGTAAATAAAGCAAACCTAGAGTTACCCAGCGACTGAGTTAAATTCCTTTAACAACCAGCCAATACATAGGTATGGAAGTTTTTATTGCCCTCCCATACACCAAAATACAGCTTCTCACTGACTTTGCTATGCCATGCACCAGTCTCCTCAAGAGCTGTCAGAGGGCTGTCTTGAAACAGCCCCTCATGGACCTCTATGAACAGAGAAAATAAACATTATAAGGTCTTGGAGTGTGCTTTGCACAGGTTCCAACTGCTACTGAAGCCTGACACACTGAAGT